CCGTACCGATCTAAGAGACTCTACTAAACCTGCTCATGACTCGTGAGACCTATGTAACCAAGGCTCTGATACCAACTTGTCACGACCCTAAACCCAGACCCGATCATGATGGCGCCTCTCGTAAAGACAAGGCCAGCCCACACATTTCTAATTTGAAGTTAAACAACTAAACAGCAATACAACAGGCTAAAACATGATTTACTAATGCTAAACAGTGAATAATATCATAACAATGCGGAAGTACAACCCAAACACAGCCCAAATCGGGGTGTCACTAGTCATGAGCATCTACTAAGTCTAAATACAACCGACAAAGACTGAAATGTACTCAGTACAGTCTAATAGAATGAAGAGAGAGAAAGCAGTGCTGCGAACGCCGGCAGCTACCTTACTAACTCCACTGACAGCTGCCACCAAGCTTAGAAAATACCTGAATCTGCACACAAGGTGCTGGGAGTTAAATGAGTACTGCCAACTCAGTGAGTAATAATCATAAATAAATACTGAGTGGTAAGAGATCACTAAAAGAGCATCAACATGCTGTATAGAAGCAGTTTCAAAACCAGTGAGAAAGCAATGAAGCTGTAAAATCCTTTAAAATATCTTAGCTTAGTTTAAACCCTTTTGAGAATAACTTTTTCAACAGTTGTACAAATGAATGAACAAAAAAAACTAGTGCAGATAAGCACAGAAATCCGCCCCTCGGGCACAAATACCCAATTAAGCAAGTAAATGACAGGCAAATAAGAAAGATAAGCACATTAGGTTTGCCCCTCGGGCACAATATCAACAAATCTGCCCCTCGGGCAATATCTCAGAACAGTACCAGCCCCTCGGGCAATCACATAAAACAGTATCAGCCCCTTGGGCAATCACATCGAACAATACCAGCCCCTCGGGCTATATCTCACATCACACTGGGTACCTGTGCTCACTGGGGTGTGCCGACTCCCGGAGGGGACCCTTCGGCCTAAGCGCAATAACAAGCCATCTCGTGGCATCATAAACAGGCTCTCGGCCTCATATCAATATCAAGCCACCTCGTGGCGTACATATCTCAGGCCCTCGGCCTCAAATCAGTATCAGTGTATCACCGCTGCGGCGTGCAGCCCGACCCAAAAAATAATCTCACAACACAGGCCCTCGGCCTTAATCAGTCAAAAATCACATAAGCCTCTCGGACAACAGTAAAACAGTGTTTCTCAGCCCAAAACATCATTTAAAACTATCATTTTGATTATTAAAAACTGAGTGAACATGGCTGAGTTTTGAAAACAGTGGAAAATAACATGACTGAGTTCAAGTAATAAGTCAAAACAGTGAGAAAATATCAAAACCTAAAACCCCCCCCCCCCCCCCGAAGGGTTCAAATAGTTGGCACGAAGCCCAAATATGGCATGCAGCCCAAATAATGATGATAACAAATAGATTTCAATCAAATAACGCGGTAAAATCATCAATCGGGACGGACCAAGTCACAGTCCCCAATAGTGCACGACCCCACGCTCATCGTCAAGCGTGTGCCTCACCTCAATATAGCACTACGATGTGCAATCCGGGGTTTCAAACCCTCAAAATATCATTTACAATCATTACTCACCTCGAACCGGCTACATCTCTAGCTCGCGACGCCTTTGCCCCTCGAATCGGCCTCCACGCGCGTCGAATCTATCCAAAATCAGAACGAGGACGTCAAAATATGCAAAGGGAACAAAGCCCAAGCGAAAACAATCAATAAAGGGCACTAATCCCAAAATTAGCAAAACCCGAGCCCCGAGCCCACTTCTCGAAACTCAGAAATTTTCACATCAATAGATTCCTTGTCTCCCCACGAGTTCATACATATCAAAAATACTAAAATCGGAGTCCAAATGACCCCTCAAATTCCCATTTAAAGGCCTCTTAAACTCAAGCCCTAATCCTCCATTTTTGCCCTTTAATTCCTTTAATTACAGCCATAAATTCATGAAATACAACCATAGAATTGAGTTTTAGGTCCAAAATTCCTTGCCTTAACGAATTCTCTTGATTTCTCTCTTCAGAATCGCCCAAAAAGCTCCAAGGTCGAAGGCAACAATGGTGAAATAACCCAAAATCGCGAAATGAAATAACATATATGGTCTGCCAAGCCTTTCCGCATCTGCGGTCCAATATCTGCTTCTGCGGTAACGCGTATGCGGTCAACTCCTCCGCTTCTGTGGAACTCAATAAACGGCCACATACCGCGTCTGCGGTCAACTGGTCGCATCTGTGACGCCGCAGGTGCGGTCCCCATACCGCATCTGCGGTTCTTGACTCTACCTCTCCATACCGCATTTGCGCCTTCCCTTTCCGCACGTGCGACACCATACCTGCGGTCCCCAAACCGCAGGTGCAAAAACACCAGAAGCAGCAATATCAGGTGCTGCAACAAATCTCCAATCTCCCCGATAGCCACCAGAAATCATCCCGAGGGCCCCGGGACCTCATCCGAAAGCACGAACATAACCCAATACCTTATTCAAACTTGTTCCACTCATCAAAACACCTCAAACAACATCCAATCTACCAAATCACATCGAATTCAAGCCTAAGTTTCTAAAATCTTCGGAAATACGCTTTTGATCAAAAGCCCAATCAAACCACATCCAAATGACCTGAAATTTTACACACACATCCCAAATGACATAACGAAGCTACTACAACTCCTGAAATTCAATTCCGACCCCTAGATCAAAATCTCGCCTATCAACTGTAAATCGCCAAAATATCAACTTTGCCAATTCACGCCTAAATCTACTATGGACCTCCAAAACCCATTCCGATCACGCTCCTAAGCCACAAATCACGTCCCGAAGCTAACCGAACCCGGAACTCACATCCGAGCCCTCTAACACATAAGTCAACATCCGGCTGACTTTTCCAGCTTAAGCTTCCTTAAAAGAGACTAAGTGTCTCAAACCTTACCAAAATCATTCCGGACTCGATCCTACCAACCCGATAACACAAAACACGGACAACAAAGCATAAAGAAACAGAAATGGGGGAAACAGAGTGGTAATTCATGAGACGACTGGCCGGGTCGTCACAGTTCATATTCCAGCTGCCCTCTTGAATGAATTCCATCACGGTAGTATTTTTACTCTTTCTGCTATCTAGGAAAAAATTAGCTAATGCCCCTTTCCCTGACCAGTTATCCCACCAGAAGCTGCTATTACCCTTGTTGATGTTCCAAATCATATTTTCTTCTACTTCGTCTCTAATTTGTGTCATATGTTTCCAAGCATGTGAGTTACCTGATGCCCACTTTTTTGCTACAGGGTGAGATCTGATGCAATATTTAGCTCTAAGGTGGGTTGCTCATATAGTGTTCTGAGTTCTATATCTCCACCACCTCTTCATGACTAATGTATTACTAATATCCTCTATAGATCTTATGCTAATGCCACCTTCTTCTTTGGGTTGGCACAGGTTCTTCTAAGCACTCCAATGATACTTCCTTTTATCCGCTGAAGTGCCCAGAAGAACCTAGCCAAATACTTTTCAATCAAATTTAGGGTGCTCTTTGGAGGACTCATTGCAGAAAGAGTGTAAATTGGTAGAGATTGGAGGACACTTTTAATAAGGACAATTCTACCCCCACTATTAAGAAGTCTGCCTGCCACCCATTCAATCGTTTAGCCACTTTGGTCACCATCGGATCAAAATGAGAGAGTTTCTTCCTGCCCACATATAAGGAGCAACCTAAATAGTTGAAGGGAAAACTTTTTTCCATGAAGCCCGTGGTTGTTCTCATCATGTTGATTCTATGTGCTCTAGCTTTCGGATCAGTGAAAAAGAAACTTTTGTCTCCATTAACCTTTTGCCTAGAGGCTCTCTCATAATTGCTTACTTGTTGCATGATCAATCTAATTGACTTGTTATTTCCTGCACTGAAGATCACAATATCATCTGCATAAGCCAAGTAGTTGATTGGATGGCATCTTTGATTCATGTGAAAAGGGGTGAAATCTTGATCAGAATGGAGCTTATTCAATGATCTGGACAATACTTCTGTAGCTATGATAAACAAAGAAGGAGACAGAGGGTCGCCTTGCTTCAGTCCTTGAGATGATGTATAGAACCCCCTTCTCGATCCATTAATAACAATAGAATACCGTGCTTCTGACACCAACCTCAAGATGATATCAATCCAAGATTCCGCAAATCCAAACCTTCTCATTACTGAAGCTAAAAAGACCCAAGATACTCTGTTGTATGCCTTGGCCATATCTAGCTTAATAACTATATTACCACCTTTGTTGTCTTTGCTAATACCTTGAATGATCTCTTGAGCTAGCATCACATTCTCTGTGATTAGGCTACCTTTCACGAAGCCACTTTGATTGTCTGATATCAATTTTGGAAGAATTGTATTAAATCTGCTGGCCAGGATTTTGGAGATGATTTTAGTACTAAAATTGGTTAGGCTAATGGGTCTTAATTCTGAAAAGTTGGTAGGGGACTCAACCTTAGGAATTAAGACAATGCAAGAGTGGGAGTGGAATTTTGTAAGATTGCGACCATTAAAGAAGGTTTGGACAAAAGTAGATGTATCTTCCCTGATGGTTTCCCAACAAGCCTGGAAAAAGACCCTATTAAAACCATCTGGACCAGCTGCACTGTGTTGACTAAGGTTAAAAACAGCCTCCCTAATCTCTTCAATGTCTAGAATAGCTGTCAGATACTCATTCTCTTCCGTTGAGATGATGTTAGGAATGCAGTTCAGGGTTGAGTTATTCATTGTGGGGGCTTGGAGATTGAAAAGTTTCTTGAAATGTTTCACCGCTGCCTTCGCAATCTTGTCATCCCCTTGCACCCATCTGTCTCTATGGTTTTTGATCCTGTGAATGTGAAGTCTTCTTCTCCTTTCTCTGAGGACACTGTGAAAATAGTTGCTATTGTAGTCCCCCTCTTGAACCCATTTAACTTTAGATTTTTGCGTTAGAATATTCTTTCTCCTGTATACTAAGCCATTTAACCTATTCCGCGTGAGCTTTATTCAGCTCTTCTCTTCGCTCCTCCAAGTTGTGGTGAAAATCCAACTCTTCAAGTCGTTGTACTTTGACTTCCCAATTGTTGAACTGCTCATATATGTCGCCTATGCTTGCTCTGGACCATTTACTGAGGTTTCTGGCTAGAGTTTGCAGCTTTGTCTTTATTCTCCACATGGCATTTCCTTCTACCTGAGTATTCCACGACTCTTGAACTACTTCCATAAAACCAGGCTGCTGTACCCAAAAATTGAGGAATAGGCTGTTATTAGTTGCTTAACTTTTTGGTAACTTGGTTTATTTGGTATTGCTACTTTCACCTAGCGTTATGACTTTATTAGAAAACGCTTGCATATATAATGAAGGAAAATATAAATAACATAACAGAAGAAAGACATGATCTTGGACATTGTTACTGCGTAAGAAAATTAGATTTACATTTCAGCCTGAATTTTAATAAAATACATGAGATATCTTTTAGAATCATTTGCTTCTATTCAAATTGTAACCGGTCAAATGAGATAATTTCTTTAGGGGGGGCTTAACTTCTAATAAAAACGGAATTTATTTTTGGGTAAAAAGGGGGTCAAATATTTCATTCGACCTATTTTCCTTTGAGATCTTGTTTCCCAGTTTAATCCTTTAAAGGGGTAACATTCTTCACTTTAAACCTTGCTTCAATAGCATCAAGAGTCATTGCGTCGACTTCTAATCCTCCACGATTAAATGCAAAGTAGGAGGCTTTTAATTGGTCATTATGACATCTACATAGTTGGTTAATTTGTCAACTGTAGCGGTAGACTGCATTACTGTAACTATTTGGTCCACATACCGAAACTAATAACATTCCAGGATTATATACAAATGGCATAATTGTGGCATAATTGAGTTTGAACCCTAGACAAATTGGATGTCAATGTTAACGTCCTTTTTTGGCTCTCTATGTCTTTTATTGTTATTTAAGGAAAACTCTATTTAGTTGTGTTTAGTTGCATAATTTGAAATTGACATCTTATAACCACCCATAATAAGAATTGATAATTTTTATCCTTATATTAGGTTTGGCAAAGATAGCCCAAAACAATTGGCATTATATAGTCAAATCCTAAAAAACCCTACTCTCTTTTATATTCTCTCTCAAAAAAAAAATTACACGCTTTATTTTGGCTTCCCTCCACCTTTCTTTCCTTGTATTTCTTCTTCTATCTCTTCTCTTTTGCTCTTAGTTTAGCAAAAATTCTTGCAAGTTATGCAAAAAAAATAAATTGGATAAAAATGTAAGGTTGATCTCACATCAGAGAAAATCAGAAGCAAAAACTAAGAGAGAAAAAATATATTTCAATTTTTTTTTCTTCTCTCTTCTTCTTCTTCTTTTTTTTTTTGGTTGGATTGAATGAGTGGGTGTGATTGAAACTGGTTGAAAATACCTAAACGAGGCTATATACAAAATTTGAGCAAGAATAGAAGTGATTAGACTGGTTTCAGGCAAAAAATCAAACCTAAAAATTCAACTGTGACATGTGTATATCACGTTGTACATCGTGTACATCAGTGTATATCACACACAAGTTTTTAAGGACGTCTGTGTATATCACTTTGTATATCGGTATACAACACAATTGTTTTATGGACGCCCGTGTATATCACATTGTATATCGTATATATAACACAAATTTTCATGGATATACACCGATACACATAATATACATGAGATATCACTGAATTACATAGAGATATTCACGGGTTACAATAGGGGATACACATGTGGAGTCTTCTTGAACTTGAGTTTTCAATCTGAAATGTGTTATACAAAGAAGAAAAATAAAATTTTAATAATTTTTTTGATATACACATTATTATTATGTTATACGACGTGATATATAAATAATATAATTATTAATTATTGGTCAAAAAAGGAAAATAAATTTTTGATATAGCGTGTTTAAGCAAGTTCTAAAATATAAATATAATTGTGGGAGTAAATAATATTTTAGTATACAAAGAAAATTAATTTTTGTTGTACACAAAGAAGAAAAATAAACTTATGATATCTATTTTGGTATACATATGTCCGATGTGCTATACAATAATACAATATTTTTATTCGATATATACTGCTATAAAGGCAGCAATAACTATATATATAATTTTATATTATTGATATACAAAGAATAATATTATTTATATACAAAGAATGAAAATAAAATTTTAATATACATGTTGGTATAGACAAAGAAGAAAAAAAGGTTGTGATATACATATTATTATTGTGATATACATTTATTGGCTATTCGATGCCAATATCTATAACTAGGGCTATTTTTCTGCCAATTATATGAGTATGTTGTTATACCATGCCAAAAAACCCTAGACAAATTGCCAATGATAGGAAAGTTATTTTGCTGGAGATTCTTGTGACCTTACTTGTAGAAGAATGTTTGTCTCTCCTTGATAATAAAGCTATTTGACATGACTTATGCGTCTAGAGTAATTTGTGAATCAAAGTGAAAATTTGTGAAACTTTGTCAAGTTATTAAATGTCACGACCCAGAATTCCCACCCTCGGGATCATGATGGAGCCTAACATTTCACTTGCTAGGCAAGCCAAGGTTAGATATAATTATTAACTATTTTTAACAATTCACATCAAATGAAAAATAATAATAAGTTGAATAAACTGAAATAGAGTAAATAAACGGCGATATCCAAATACAACCCCAGAACTGGTGTCACGAATACACGAGCGTCTAGAGTACTACAAATAATAGTCTAAATAAAAGCATAACTGCCTAAATCGAAATAAACAGCTAAGGTAATGTAGAAGGGGACTTCATTGCTGCGAACGATGTGCAGCTGTACTTTCAAGTCTCCGTCAAGCACTGGATCTGAGCAAATCTACTGAACGCCGCTAGGACATACTCTGAAATCTGCACAAAAAGTACAGAGTGTAGTATTAGTACAACTGACCCCATGTACTCTGTAAGTTCCGAGCCTAACCTCGACGAAGTAGTGACGTGGCTAAGGTGTAATTATAACAGGGTAGGAAAGGCAGGAAGTGAAAGTAAGGCATTTAATTTATGAAAATGAAATAAATCCTCGCAATTAGAGAACCTAGAATAACATATCTCATAATTTCATATAAAAATGCTGAAGCCCAGCACAATAACAATAACGAGTACAACAGACATCATCCGTTGCGGCGTGCAATCTGATTCCACCATAAACACACGATCCTTCCTCATTTCACCATAGCATCGTTTATCAGTATCAACAATCACGTATACAATCCGTTGCGGCGCACAACCCGATCTCACCATATCATCATAATCAATGTCATAATCCTCCCTTATTACACCATATTATTATTTATCAATATCAAGCATAACATACACAACTGTTGCGCCACGCAACCCGATCCCATCATATCATCAAAATCATTGTTATAATTCTTTCTTATTCCACCATATCACAACCGTTGCGGATGGTATCACTGTGATATTGAGATTTACATTGAAGTGACTCATTGGAACTTAAACCTGTATTAAAGAATAAATATGAGTAGTTAGGGATATTTGTGTGTAGAGCTTAGTCCTTGGTTGAGCTACTCTCCCTGACACAGGCACTGCCCTGGGCCTTGAGACCCTTGCGAACTTTTAAGTGTCAGGGATCCAAAGAGAGCATTGGCCATGAACGACGCTCTACTACTAGCCTCTAATCTATTAACCTATATTACTCCCTTTAGGTTTGATGTTTAATGACAATAAAAGGTTTCAATATGAATCATTTTGCCATACATGACCCCCACATTAGTGTAATTATTATAGCTTAAATTATCATTGATTGTTATAATTTGTTTAGGCCATTACTAGTTCATTTCATGTATAATTATATATAGAATAACATATCTAATGGCCTTCTTTCTATTTGAACATTTATTACAATTGGGCCTGCCGAGTTCCCAAAGAACTCAGGCCCAAGTCCTGCCCCTGCGCGTTTGGTAGGTCTGAAGTCAGCTGCTATCCGTTTCTGCTATCTACTGGGCCTGCCTCTTTTTTGCCCAAAACCAGTGTCCTTCCTTTCCCTTTTACTGCTTTACTGCTTCACTGTATTTTGTTATCTTTATTTCTCATATGTATACAACAGTTATCATATTAGATCGAATGTTTTGCTTTACCTCTTTCAATCATGTAGACAATCTAGGCAAACCCTAAAAGATATAGGATTAAAGAAGTATTAGGCTTAGTAATAGATAAGTTTTAATTCGTTGATTACACATTGTTTATACTGATCTTTACTAACGATTTATAAAGACTTTTGGGATCAAAACAACTTTAGCAAAAGTCGATAATCATTTCTTTTCAAAAATCAGAAGTGGAATCTAAAATTGGTCTTCTAAAACTGCACTTTTCTACAAAATTAAACAAATATCGTTGCCCTGTTATAAGGAGTTTTCCAGCGACTTCTTCAAAAAAAAGATGGGGTTTGAGAACCAAGGTATATCATTTAAAAGTGTTTAAAACTCAATCCCATATCATATGTTTTATAAAAACAAAAATTTTGTGCAATACCCCCTAACTCTTTCAATCATATATACAATATTATCCTCAAAGCTTTTCTAAACCTATGCCTTTTAAAAATCACACACCCATTTTTCACGTATTAAGTCTTAAAATAGATACATAGTATGTCGCCTCTCTAGTACTAGTTAAGCATAATACAAATAACTAACCCTTTAACCTAGTCTAAGTCCTATGGAGTTACCTCAGGTAGATTTTAAGAGGTGCCTAACACCTTCCCCTTAGAAGAACAAGAACCCTTACCCAAAATCTCACCGGTTAGTAGACCAATAAAGAATATGGCTTTAGTAATTAAAATATGTGCCCTAGTATACCCTTAAATATTAGGTGGCGACTCTCTTTCATCAACAACAGAGAAACCACAAGTTGAATCTTATTTTGACTAGTGCAAAATAGGGTGCAACAGCTGTAACTGCTAACTTCGCTTCTTTCTTAGCCACCTTATATCGCTCCCTGCTCGTCCTCTTCTCCTCCTCGCCAGTGTTCTCTAAAGCTTCAAATAAGCCACTTTCTTGGCTTCCACTTTATCATGGACCTCAGTGCTCCACCACCAGGCCCCTTTGTCGCCACCAGATGGGCCCTTCGACACCCCCAATACCTCCCTAGCAGCCTCCCTATTGCAGTCGCGGTCCACATATCACTCGCGTCCCCACTGCTCCTCCATGCCCAATAGCCAGCAACTTATCCCCAACTCCTGGGCTCTGACCTTAGTCAAAGCTCCCCACTTGACCCTAGGAAGACCATATGCAACCCTCTTTCTTCGTTTCCTCATAATCACCAAATCCATGACTAGGAGCCTATGTTGGGTCATGAGGTTCTCACTCGAGATGACTTTGCAGTCCGCTCACAAACCTCTATCAGACTTTCTGAGGAGTAGATAGTCAATCTAAGTCCTGCCTGCCGAACTCTGAAAAGTAACTAGGTGCTCCTCCTTCTTCGGGAAACTCAAGTTATCTATCACCAAATCAAACGCCTTGGCGAAATCCAGTAGCGAAGTTCCACCTTCGTTCCTAACTACAAAACCAAAGCCTCCATGCACATCATCGTAACCCCCAGATGCCGCCTAATATGGCCATCGAAATCTCCTCCTATGAAAAGCTTCTCAGTGTGCAGGATACCACACACCACCCCATCCAAGTCTTCCCAGAAGAGCCTTTTAACCTCCTTGTCCAAGCCCACTTGGGGAACGTACGCAATAATCACGTTTAAGGTAAAAAACCCAACGATTAGCTTAATGCTCATAAGCCTGCCGCTCACTCTCTTAACCTCCACCACTAGCTCCCGGAGATCCCTATCAACCAAAATGCCTACCTCGTTCTTGCTCCCCATGCGACCAGAGTACCATGATTTAAACACGTCTGACATCCCGCGCCATATCTCCCACCCATCTTGTCTCTTGTAGACAAACTATATCGATCTTCCTTTTATGGAGAATATTCACCAACTCTACAGACTTCCACGTCAAGAACCTGGTACCGTCGTCGGAGCCGGTGGCGGGCGTCGGAGGTCTGGCTGATGTTGCTGGAGGACGACTTCAGTGGTTTCGAAGATGGGTATGATTTGTGGGGTGTTCACAGCACTGCAAAACAGGCCTGAACCTGACTGTGGTGGTTCCCACTCACCGGTGACAAGCCCGGATCTCGCCGGAGTCGGCTGCCTTGGTCACGCCGGAGTAGAATAACGCACCCCCATGCTCACACAGGTCAGGGACAAGTGTAATGAGGAGAAAAGAGGACAACCAGACACAGTGGGGGGGAGAAAGGTGTCGCTGGCATCACGCCGGCAGTGAGTGGGAAAAAAGAACAAGACGGAGAAAGGGGGATGATGGATGTGATTAGGGGTAGGAGAGATGGGGGATGAGAGAGAGAGGGTACTTACCTTGGGGGGAGGGGTGGTCGCCGGCGGTTGTTATGGTCGTCGGTTGCCCAGTAGCCGTTAGGGCTGTTAAAATTTGTTTTTGTTTTTTTTACTTTCAAACCAATGTTCGTTGACAATGGAACTCCAGTGAGTTCTAAACAGTTTACAACTTTCGGTGGTGGTGTTTGGAGACAGGAGAATATATGGGGCTGGAGAGTACTCTTTCGCAGCTTTTGTGCCATGATGATCTTGTGAGGTGGCGTTGAATAGTTATTGCTGGTGTGTTTGTCCTAAAAAATCATACCTAAGAAGATGGTGAAGCGCATGGGCCAGAGGAATATGAGTTTTTTCTATGAAATGAAAAATGATCGTCAATTCTAGCGCTTAGTGCTATCAAGAGGAAGGAGGTCTAGCTGAAGAGGGTGAAGAACGGTGGTGTGTATGGTGAATTGAACTTGTGGTGGTGGTCGCCGCCCTTGTGAAGAAGGAGAGAAAAGAAAAAGATTATAGATATTTTAATAAGTTAGTAAATTCATATGGGACCCACAAATTACACATGTTAAATAATGTAATAGACAAAGAAAATGATGTGTCAAGAAATGTCAATCGAGTAACACGCTTAGCAGGAAGTGTTTACTACTTGTATTATTATAAAGTAGGAGTGATAAAATGGGAAAATCGTAAATTTATATACCGAGATGACAAATAGGTGCAAGTTTAAGTGGCCACGAGGCCATTTTTTCATTATAATAATAATAGTTCTATACTAAGTCTAAATACTACTCCCAATATTAGTTATCACCTATATGAATTTTTCTCTTCAATTTTGTTATATTTTAAGCTAAGTCTATATTGAATTCAAGAATATGTAACTTTTTCGAGACAATTTCTTTGCATGTGATTCTAAGTCTACCCTGTATCTTTTCAAACCTTTCCTGCCGTAGTCACAACTATGGACCGATACAGTTCAAAAAATATTTTACTTGTGCAAACTTAACATCCTAAATTGCTAGCATATTATTAGCTAAGTTCATGTTGTACTAAGTTAGGTATTACTTCCTCCGTTCCAATTTATGTGAACCTGTTTGACTGAGCACGGAGTTTAAGAAAATGGTTGTGATCCTAAGCAAGTCAAAAAAGGGCCTAGAGTATTTGTATGGTTATAAAAACTTCTCATTAAGGATAAAACTATAAGTTTAAGCAAAATTGTTACGAAATTTAAAAAGGAGTCATTTTTTGACCAATAAAAATAAGTTCACATGAACTATATAACTTTAAGTATGTTTTTGCAAAAGAGAAAACTTCAATTGTTCAAGAGTTTTTTGTTATACTGGTTAGAGACTATAAGATCTACAAAATCAGGTAGTATGTGTTTTCAAATCTTATCCTAATTATGTATAATATGCTGGGGATTACACAAAACTTATAACAATACATTTGGTGTAAAAAGACACTCTTTTGCAAAAAGAATTAAAACCTCAAGAAACACAAATACCATAAAAGGATGAAAAACTTATTATCTTCTTTTTATTATTTTTGTTACGACATTACATTGGAAAATTTTGCTTCTATGAAATTTGAGAATCGATTTAACATAATTGATTGATTGATTGTCCAAAACTCACTAAAGTGGCCACTAAGCAGAAAATCATCTTCCCCAAATTATATGCACATAAGGAAATTGCATGCTCATCTTCATAAAGTTCCCACCCCAAAATGTCCAAGGAACTCCATTTGAATAGGTGGCATTTTCTACCTTCCAGACAAAAATAATGCACCACGTTGTATATTTAAGGAAAATCATCTAGAGTATTGGTTATACATACTTGGTAAGGATGTATTCTCTTGTTTGTATGTTTGATTAAAACCAAAAGAATGTATTCCTACTCACAATTACTTTTTTTTTAATCAAATGTCAATTACTTTCTTTTTTGCTTCTTCTTGCAATTTCTTTTTCTTTTATTTTTTTTTAAGAAAATAGAGATATACTTTTCATAAGAACTTTGCTAGGTGTACAATGAAAAACAAAAACCAGACACAAATCAATTAAAAAATAAAGCACACATAAATTATGAAAGAAGAATAATCATTGACATAATTAGCAATAATTGCGGTCAGAGTTCAAACTTCAAAAGTACTATAGAAAAAGAAAAAGCAGTGGCTCAAAAGTGCTTGAAAACAATCATCGCTACCCCTCAATTAGTTAAATGAAAGGTACCTCAATCGTTTAAGAGAAACAATTTCTCATCATTGCCACATTAGTCATAAAAAATATCCCTTATACAACCTTCCCAAAAAAATAATCTAATAAAGATTATTTTTCAAATATGTAAAAGTTTTGGAAAAAAACAATAAGAAATAAAATATACTGCCTCCATCCTAACGTCTACATTTATGTGACTATTTTATTTAATAAATGTGATTTTATGTGATTATAAATTATTTCACTACAATAAAATAATAATTTAAAATTAAACTAATAATAAATAAGAAATATAATTCTATTAGGATAGGCTAAGAAGAAAAATATTTCATATAAATTGAAGTAACTAAAAAACATTCATGATTACATATAACAAATGGAATGATTAATTGAGTCCCACTTGAAACTAAATTTTATTTGTCAAGAACTAAACCAACAGAAGCAAAATCAAGAAAAAGGAAAAGCAAAGAAAAATAACAACAAAAAATGAAGAAAATGGGTGAAATGAATTCCTCTCAGACAAATGCCTCGAATTGTCTTCACGATTTTAAGAATGGATTTCATCAGACTCGTCATCTTAGTTTGTTCATCACAGAGGAATAAAAAAACAAACGCACAAACACACACACACACAGAGTGGGAAAAGAGTAAAAAAAATACGAAGAAAAATGATTGCTCTAATGATATATGAAAAGGAAAATCGATTACTCTCTGCAAAGAGATAGATGGAGCAAAGCTGACGAACTAGTTTCTACTTATAGGCGTGACTTACTTTAGGGTTTAGCTTTGGGGCTTTCTAGTGGGCTAAGATTGGGTAGCTAAACTCGGTCCTGTGGGCTTATCTAGCCCAATTATTTTTATCTGGCCCATTTAGCTAAACAGTAGCAAAAGATTGCAGAAATATGATATTTTTTTTGGATGGTCTTTAATTTTTGACTTTGCTTGCCCCATGAGCAGAATTTCAAGGTCAAAACCTAAAAATATTGCGCATGGAACAAGTGAGGGACAATACTTGTTAGACTTGAATTTATGCTCATAAGATAAGCTGGGATAAAAATTTAAGATCTCATTAACTTTGAGGAATATTTGTGTACTTTACCCAAACAGTAGAGCTAAACAAGATTTAAGTTTAGAAATAGCCATGGATTTGGAAACAAATGTTGGACAAATTATCCCCACAGAAATAATATTTATGGTATATAGTTATAATAAATGTGGATTGCTAAAATACAGTAACCAACAGTAATAACAAGAGAAACAAGGACACCAGATTTTACGTGGAAAACCTTTCTGAATAAGGGAAAAACCATGGCCCGAGAGGAGCAACTGATTTCACTATTGCAAGGATTTTACAATTTGTGGTACCGAGTAAAATACTCCAAGACCGCTAAACACTCAAAATAAATAACCCTCTTTTGATTTTTTTACCTCACTACAATACCGCTCAAACTCTCTATATTTTTCCTCACAAAATATATTGCTTCTTACTCTGTAAATCACTCTATTTCTCTTTGTTTGGTGTGTTTAACAATTCAAAGCAAGACACCTATTTATAGTGCTTAGGATTGTTTCATTGATGTCATGTTAATGGCACAAGTCAAATATTACATTGTGAAACCAGGAATGATTTGCTTTAAAAAATTTCTTACTATTCCTTTAGTTGGCTTGACATTTCAAAGCCAAAGGAAGATGTCTTCCTTTCACATGGGATGGACCCATCAAATCTCCCCTTCCAGTCCCATGCACCTGAAGGAGGTATCTCTAATTTTTCATATAGAGCTCATTTCGACAAGTTCTTTGCATCGCTCGAACTTGTCTCTTGGTATCGTCTTGGTCAACATATCAGTAGGATTTTCACTCGTGTGAATCATTTTGACCTGTAAAGATTCGTTCTCCACCTGCTCATGAATCCAATGATATCTCACATCGATATGTTTTGTTCTTGCATGGTACATGGAGTTCTTGCTCAAGTCTATTGCACTTTGACTGTCACAATAGACGACATACTCATTTTGATGCAATTTCAGCTTTTGAAAAAATCGCTTGAACCATACCATCTCCTTGCCAGCTTCTGTAGCAGCAATGTATTGTGCTTTAGTTGTTGAAAGTGCAACGCACTTCTGTAATTTAGACTGCCATGATATAGCTCCCCTGAAAAAGTAACTAGATATCCAGTAGTGAATTTTCTATTATCAGTATCACCAGCCATATCAGCATCGGTATAGCCCTTCAAGATTGGATCTGATCTCCCCAACACAAGCATTCATCTGAGGTTCCTTTTAGATACCTAAGTATCCACTTCACA